AAAAAAATGTCAGTCTGTAGGTCAGTCCTCTAGTGAAGCTATTTGCTCGTTCCAAAGTGTAGATTCCTATGGAGAAGAACGAGCAAGAAACTCCATAGGTTACTCTTTTTCAATCATGTTCACAATACAATTTTTGGTTACATTCTTCCGTTGAGTTCAATAATGTGAGAACAATGTAATACCAATATTTGGTCAAGGAGACGGAAAAAGAAAATAACCTTGAGGACAACAAATTTAATACAGTCTGGAGCTGACCAGTCCCATTTGACAGCGCCCGTTCACGAACATGACACGTACACCAGCACCGCCCAACTCGACCATGTTATAGGGAATCGAGCGATCCACTGCCCGTGCCACTGCCAATGAGACTTTTGAGTGAGCATGACAACTCCAGGCTGACACACATGCATTCTACTAGTCTAATTTAATTTAGGTAGTTACAGGGCTCTCACATTTACAATAGTTACCTATATAAAGTTTTACAGTGTGTACATTTGAACAAAATGGCTGTATTTGACATGATTGGAACTCATTGGAACATCAATGTTTTTCGCTATCCTGTGGAGCCGGACCAGCATGCCTCCAAGCATTTTTATCCTCTATGTAATCATTAAGTTTGTAGTATGCTTTTCCGCATAACGTTTTTTTAACATATAATTTAAATTTTGACTCATTTAAATGTTGTATTTCCTCCGGAATTTTATTATAGCATTTAACACAGAATCCCATAAAGGACTTTTGTACTTTTGTCAATCTAAATAGTGGCTGACTTAGTCTATCCCTATGTCTAGTTTGATAGTGGTGTCTGTCACACACTTTACCTTTTTTTATTTTTATTTTGTATTATTTATGTAACTGTATTTTTATGTTTATTTTTAAAATCTTTATATTTGTGTGCCCACTTGTCAAATAAATGTTTTTTTTTTCTTTCATTTACATATCTACCTAAGTCCGGCAATGTCACGCTACTTCACCCAACGTCGCTGGCCATTTGTCCTCTACTGTATCCTTGGATTAAAGTAGCATAAGGTCTTGTTTGTCTAATAGAAAATTCCGAGCATACGCTGTCAAACGCATAGCCTGATACCTGATAGTAAATAACACAGTAAGCAACACGAAAGGAGTTACGAATGCGTTGCCGGCCTTTTTGACATAAGGGGTTTGAGGAACCTGATGTTTAAGTGTGGGAGAGCCATGGCTCTCCCACACTTAAGCATGCTTCAGCACGAATGGGCCGGCTCGACCGGAGTGATACCACCAACGAGCAGAAAACCATAGTGAAACAACGCTTGCGTTATGTTTCATCGTGTGAGTGAGGTTACCGGAGGCCCAATTATCCTCCCCTTCCCCAATCTCTCCAATCCCTGAATCCCCAACGATCCTCAAACTCCGAATCCCCAAAAGGCCGGTAACCCACTTGTAACGCCTCTGGTGTTCCAGGTGTCCATGGGCGACGCCGATTGCTTACCATCAGGTGATCCGTCTGCTCGTTTACCGGCTTATGCCATAAAAAAAATAGAAATAAAATAAATTCACAACAAAACACCATGGCAGAGGGCGCGGTGGGCTCGCAGCGCAAGTAGCAACACCGAGGCGAGCGCCAACGCTAGCCAGTAGGCTGTAGACATCGCCGCGACCGCGCACGCTGCTCATGAGGAAGAACCCCTCTGTGGTTCGAAACAAGTAGAGCTTTTTCTCAGTATAATCACGTGAGTAATCCGCGATTCTTAGGTAATTTAGTATGTCTCACGTTAGTTATTGTAAAAACAAAACACCATGTTTGTTACTTTAATCTTATAATTATAATAAAATAATCTTATACAGAGTGTCCCTGAAGTCGACGATCAAATGACACCAGGTGGTCGGCAAGGTTCCAACAGTTATAAGAAAAATGTAGAAAAAAATTGAACTCATATATTTTTAAATTACAATGACTTATATGTTATCCACGAAACAGTACACCATGTGCCAGTCTTTTGACTCTGGTTGCTACAATTCTTTGTCTTTTCGTCTGTATTTTTGCTATGCTTCCCTATGGTTGACTGTCAGAGAATGCCTTGAGGCATTAGGTCCGCCATTGTTATATTTGTGAAGAAGAAGTAATAAATATTAAGCGAAGATCTGGGGCCTTGTCGATCCTCTAATGCTATTTGTTCGTCGACTTCAAGGACACTTGTATAACAAATAATAATAATATTTGACACGCTCTCTACCCGCCATGCAGTGTAGATATGAACATGACAGTATCCCCAGGTTGCAGTTCGTAATCTAATTCTCCATATAACTCCCAGTCTGTATCATTTATCAGCACTAGGATGCCAGGCCGCACTGAGTCACCCTGAAACAAAACAATGATTTATTTTTTTATGGTACAAGCCTGTCAACGAGCAAACGGATCACCTGATGGTAAGCAATCGGCGTTGCCCATGGACACATGGAAAACCAAGGCGTTACCAATGCGTTACCGGCCTTTTGGGAATTGAGGATTTGAGGATTCGGGCATAGGAGTGACTGGAGAGGGAGAACGCAAGCGTTGTTTCACGTCGGTTTTCTGTGAGACGGTGGATCACCGACAGATACAATATATATTGCACAATAAAATACTTTTGACTTAAAAAATACCTTAAGACTATCTGTATTCACAATTATGAAAATGAAAATGAAAATGAAAATATTTATTTGTAAACATAGGTACAATGGGATGTTACATTTCATGGCTATTGACCATCTATGTTTTATATCACATACAAATTAGGTTAAACATTTAAGTATTTAATTTAATAACGTCATTAATATTAATTTCATTCGAATAAATTATTACAATAGTCACGAATGTATATAAAAATAAAGATAATGTCCTTGATGAAAATTTTAAATATTAATCATTAGCGGATGTCAAGATGAACGTGAAACAGTACATTTTTTTTTAAGTCATATTACCTAGTCAGTGGGTACAACATACTAAAAGTTTTACTGATAATTTCGTTGTTCCTATATAAATCAAAACAAATGCCACCAATGCAAATCGGATCCAGCAGGCAGTCATCTTTCATCTAAAAATTCCTTGATGGAGTAGTAACATTTTGATACCAGGTGTACTTGTAGGGACCTTTTGAACTCGTCTACACTGCTGATGTTAATTATAGGTAACCACAGCATGCATATACCTTTTTAGCTTACATTAATACAAAAAAGACTGCCTGGTGAAAGAGTGGTCGCAAATGCGGGCAAAGTAGTGCTGGGTTTTTAAAATAAATTTCTGTAGTAGCACGGAGTCTAGAATTGTGCCTGATATATGGCAATAGGCTCACCCCCTATTACATGGAACTAATAACATTGATAGTGAAAAGTGGGTGTTACATTGTACTGTGGCATTTTTTTTTCTTTCTTTTAAGGGGGGAAAATCATCGAATGACTGCTCCCGCCTAGAACCTAACGGGTAACCGGGGCTCCGGCTCGACGTGCAGGAGAAGGAACGGGGTGGTTTTTAGTCAGTAAGAGTCTGACACTCCCTTCCGCCTCACCCAGGCGGGAGCAGTCATTCGATGATTTTCCCCCCTTAAAAAAAAAAAAGAATCCCTTTGGAGATAAAAGGCGTGATGATGACTTTCAAATAACAAATAGGATACTTTTTATCCCACGGCTACGTTGACGAAGCCACTAGCAGAAGCTGTAGATAAATAAATAAATAACCTCTACCTGAGGTACTAAGGGTTTTTCAATTAAGAAATCACATAATTTAGTGTTTACTAACGACCCACCCCGGCTTCGCACGGGTGCAATATGCATGCATTATACATATAAACCTTCCTTATGAATCATTTCATCTATTAAAAAAACCGCAACAAAATCGTTGCATAGTTTTAAAAATCTAAGCATATATAGGGACAGACAGACGGCGGATAGCGACTTTGTTTTATACTACGTAGTGATGTACGTACCTGTAAAAACAATTCTTCTCTTTCTCTCAGCAAATTCTCTTTAATCCATAACAATAATTCTCTAATTGTCCACTTTTCGCACTGGCAATCCGGTTTAAACTTTTTTAATGCTGGCAACTCCACTTCTCTCTTTTTAATTTTGTCAAATAATAATTCTGCTCCTCCTCCAAAATGTATGTTGAGTTTTAATGAGTCTGCCATTTTGTGAACTGAAATGAAATTAATATGAGATAAAACATTAACTTCTTCTTGTTATTTATGCATTGTTTACTAACAAAATAATATTAAATCTTTATACATACTAGTATCAATCAACTACTTGTAAGTGTAATATTGATTGTCTATTACAATTCTGCATTATCTATGGAATATAGTGTATGTATTATCTGTGCAATAAACTTCTTTAGTCGTTACAAGAAACCATAACACTGCGTTTTAATACTTCTTTACCAACATTATTTGTCTTGTCTTATTTTTTTATACCACTACGATGGCAAGAAAAACACACGTCCCACCTGATGGTAAGCGGTTTCCGTGGCCTATGAACGCTTACAACACATCGGGCATTACATGCGCCTTGCCAACCCTTTAACAACCTATTTACACCTTTCTTGAAGAACCCCATATTGTTTATTCACTCTCCACCCTTCTTACTATTTCTAGACACTAATATTATACCATAGGAACAGAGTCCGGTCGCGGCAGTTGACAATATTATAATAGTGATTTTATAGTAATATTTATTTATTTACTTTAAAATGAAACTTTACAGCAAGAGTCAAAATACTTACATTCTAGGATACAAAAAGATTCCTATATTATTGAGATTTATATTTAAAAACTTATACATTAAGTTCCGTATGACATTTTTATCGTGGAACACATCTAATTCTGGGTGCTGAGCTATCATCGAGTTCATGAGACCCATCGCTCTTGACGTTTAGAAGTTATATAGTCATTTGTGGCAATACAAATTGTGATAGTATATTAATATATGCTTACTTCCATCTGTCAGTTATAATTTTACACCAATAGTTAAATAATCTATCACAATTTACGAAAGTAAACATGATTCACGCTTCAATCAATAAGAATTAAAAAAAATACATTAGAGCACTCACCTTACGACTATTTTTGGTATTATACTAATAATAATTGTTTTACAGTTTATTTATTCTTATAATATAGTTGTATTTCTTATTTAATAACACAATCATAACAAAACAATGCGATTTTATAATTTTTGAGGTTATGTTATTGTGTCATTTGTCAAACCAAAACTGTCAATAGAATGGACCGTTTCGTTTTTACACCAACTATTCAGTTCATTAAAATAAAAACTTAAATAAAATTAAAACTAACTATTACTAAATTAAATATATACAACTTAAACCGTAACTTAACTTTACCGTCGAGCTCTTATCATCGCCGGTGTGCCAGCTGTTCCGGAACCAAAGGGTTTGGCACGCGACGATGCATGGTATTGGTATGAGACCCGACGGTATGTCCATTATGCCCTGGAAGCTGGGAAGGTCTTTAGTGTGGGACGCAACCTGCGTCGACACCCTTACACCTTCTCATCTTCTAGTAACGGCGGGTTGTGCTGGTTCGGCTGTTACCTCTGCAGAAAACTTCAAGCGGCGCAAGTATAAGTAACAACCTTGCTGGTAGTTATATCTTTGAGCCGTTTGGGGTTGAGACGCTAGGTCCATGTGGTCCGAGTGCGCTTAAATTATTCAAAAACATTTTAAAACGCCTGGTTGACACCTCTGATCAGAGGGCTGGTCTTTTTCTCGGTCAGAGGTTAAGCATTGCCATACAACGGGGCAATGCTGCTAGCCTTCTGGGTACTTTCCCCACTGACGTCGATGCGGACGAATTTTTCGATTCTTTATGTAAATAGTTCTTTTTGTTTTTCTTTTAAATAATTTTAATCTTCAGTTCATAGTTTTTTCATAATATTAAATGACTACAGAGTTCATTTTGAAAATTACACCGTAAATATCTTCATTGAATTATTCCTGCCCCACTCAATTACGATATTATTTTTTATAACAACTATAGTGAGACATACTAAATTAACTAAAAATCATGAGTTACTCACGTGAATATACTGAGAAAAGCTCTACTAACACGTTCGCGGACACTTTGCTTGATTTTGTAACCCTATCTTGACACAAGATTTTTGTATGAAAGGCTATAGCCGTACTGTCGCCGGTAAAAAGACAACATATTTAAATAAGACAGCACCGGCCATAGCCTTCGCCTGCTCCAAACGTTACGTCACAGGTATGTAGTCTTTGACTATACAAATAGGACGCACCGGCTATAGCCTTCAAAGGCATCAGTCGTTACGTCAGTAGTAAACGGTTATTTTACTCAAATACAGCATACTGCGACTATAGCAATCAATATTATTAACCCCTTCTACAAAGTTTCAAAATAATTATGATAAAAAGAACACCAGTAGATAATAAAAACACAAGGTTTTATTTATTTTAATGTAGGAAAAATTACATCGACATTACAATAGTTATTTCAATATAAAAATTACCCTTTTAATCACAACATAAACTTTCCTTAATTTTAATCATTCTAAACGACATTGCAATTAAAATCTTTAATATAATTTTAATCTTAAGAAGATTAAGATAACTCATCTGATGAGGTATCATTGAACAATTTCATAATGCGTTCATTT